TATCCCCTATACGAAATCTAAAAAAGTGCCCTCTAAGAAATGCACATAATGAAAAAATAAAGCTATATATTAATTCATTGAAATAAAACTATAGCAATAGAAAAAAATATAACATCTAAATGTTTATTTGTTTTTTTTACATATCACGAAAGAAAAAGTACAAGTAGAACACTAGATTTAAGCTGAAAACTACTTTCAAAACATCCAAAAAGCTCATATTTTCTAAAAAAAGCATCGTGCAAACTCATAAGTGTATTTACATGCTCATCTACTTAATACTAGTGAATGCACGTGCATTTCACGTTTAGTGAATGATGTAGTTTAAGCAATAAATTTGAATTTTGGTTTTGTAGGATTTCAGTGAAAAATGAAATCTGATTTGGAATAAAGGTTACATTGGATTATATAAATTTTGTGTCCATAGGTATTTTCATTTATGATGATAATACTAAGCCAAAAACAAAGTTGTTTCATGCCATACTTGGATAAATGAGTTTTAACACGTTTATTGTCGGTAGTTAATAAAAAGTCTCTTACATTATAAATCTTTTCATCTCACTTCCTTTAATTCTTAAAATCTGTGTTTTTCAACACCTATTTAATCTCTTCATTCATGCATAGTTGATTGTCAAATAATCTAAACATCAAATACATCGTATCTCATCCTATTCCGACATGTTAACACAATTTTTCTTCATTCTCATTTTTCTACTTATTTTCAACCATACATTTTTCAATAAAATAATATTTTCTATCCATCAATCACTTTTCATTCTTTTTCAATCACATATTGCACATCACATCAACAAAAAAATGCATTCTTGACACCAAAATGTGCACCAAACGGTGGCTAACACTCCATTGAAACACTTTTTTCAAATGCTAAAAAAATTATCTCTTACATTATACTAGAATCTCGTAAGTTAAAAACACGTTGATAGATTAATCATCGTAAGCAAGTTCAAGGAAGTAGATCAATCAAATAATAAGTGCAAATAAACGAAGATAACTAAATACAAATAAGCAAGTAAGTGAAACAACGTATAATAATAAGTGCAAATAAACGAAGACAATGAAATACAAATAAGCAAGTAAGTGGAACAACGTAATTTGCATAAATATAAAAGCGAAAAGTAAAAGTGATAGAGAGTGCAAACGATATAGTTATAGAGGTTCGATCCAATGCAATGATCTACGTCCCCTATTATCAAGCTCTCCGGCTTGAGCAAGGCATTTTTCACTATGTTGATTGACTTATGGTGCAATCTAACCCTTTACAACGCTTTTGATGATTTACAAGCAAGGAGCACCGTTCCTTTTACAATGTTGAACTTTACGGAACCTCAACACGACCCACACTATTGAGCTTTACAAGACCTCAATATAACTCACACTATAACTTACAACAAGGGAAGTAGGCTAACACTTTAATAGATAGCAATGAATGATAGCTCAAGTGTTAGATGAATAACTTTGATGAATATGATGATTTTACAAGTTTTAGTTCAATCAATCAAAGTTTTGATGTGACGAAGAAGAAGAAGGATTTATACAATTTAAGTGCTAAAATATTCTTCAAAAGTATATCTCTCTTTCAATGAATAATTTGTGATAAATTAAGTACTAAGAGAGAAATTAGAAACTTTGATGAATATGATGTTTACAATTTTGATTTAATCAAAGTTTCAATATGAAGAAGTAGAATAAGTTTATGCTACGTAAGTGCTAAGAACTTCTTCAAAAATATATTTCTAAAATATATTTCTCTTTTAAGATAGATATAAATAAATTAAGCACAAAGATAAATGAAAAACTTTGATGAGAGAAATGATTTTCAAGGATAAGATCAATCAAAAGTTTTTCCAAATAAAATAAATTGATAAAGATAAATAAAGATTAAAGATCAAAAATTTTATCTCAAAAGAACCTCTTTATAATGCTCTTAGAAGTGTATCTATTGAATGCAAGAAGATGTGGTATTTATAGCAATGCAATGGGCAAAATTTTGTCCTACCGAACGCATCGTACCGGACGATCAACTAGTCATTGCGTCAGAACGGTCAAAAAACTAACTGTTACTGTCATACCGAACGTTCAGTATGGTGTACCGGACGTTCGGTTGACCATTGACTTTGACCGTTGACCTTTTTTTTTTTAAGATTTGATTTAAGTTGAAGTATCACTTGAAAAATCAACATTACTTTTGATCAAAAATATTTATGCAAGTGATATGAAAATAACTTTGTGCACAAAATGATTTTTGAGCTATTGTCATTTATTACTAAAGAACAAAGTGTTATACCTTTACATATGATCTCGAAATTCTAGTCTTTGATCTTGATTCGAAGTTTCTTTCATTGTTTGGTTTTAATGCTTGACATTGATCTTGACCTTCTTCATGAGCTCGATTTTATAGTCTTGATTTTGATCTTTTAAGCTTTCGTCTCGAATGATTTGACTTGATTGTTTAACTTTCACTTTGCTATTCATTTCGAGTCCGATTTATGATGTGTTAATTTTGGCAATACTCGAAAGATTTAACATTGAACTATTATCACTCAAAATCAATTGTTTGAAACAATATTAATCTTGTTTGTTATAATCAAAACATTGAGGATGAAATCAACCATGGGTCAACATAATTTTGTTTTCATGTTTGATATTTGTAACATGTTAACTCGAGAGATTGCATGTTAAAACATCTAATCTTACGTTTCTTAAATTTTTTTTTTTAAATTGAGAGATTTTTCCTTATACACGCGGTTGTTTTATGTTATTATACATTACTTTTATCGAACTATAAACGGGAAAGGGAAATTTTGATAATTAGGAATACATTAACTAGTACTCGAGACAAGGATCATAATGATTGAACCAAACTATTGGAACTCCTAACTATTTCCTTAAATGAATTTCTACCTAAATACTTGCTTTCTTATGACTTGGTTGATCACAAGTAATATTTCAATTACTTCAATTTTGAAAACCTCTGGAGAAGCTACTGTTATATATGTGTTTTTGATAATATTCTGTGAACGATAAATGTATTTGTAAAATAGACGAATCTAATAAAAAAAGTCAATATGTCAAGAGTTGTCTTAATTTCATTGGGTAAAATTTTTTGCAAAACTTTTTAACTCTTGAAACAAATCTTGGCTATCAAGATTAATAAATTTGAATGATTCAGAGCAATCTCAAGATGATCACAACATATTTTCAAATTTGAAAATTTTCTATAATTTAGAAAAATCAAAATTCGAGAGCAATTCACTAATCGTAACATGTTAAATTTCATTCCTTTAGTTCCTTCTGTGTTATTATCACAGCCGGACTAGGAATTGAGAAAAATCACGTGGAGAATTTTGAAAACAATATATAACTTAGAATAATATTTTTTATCACATTCACAATGAACTTATTCATGCGGTTGTTTTATGTTATCATATTCACGATGAACTTATTCACGAGAATTTGTATATGTGTATGGTGCCTCTAAAACTATGGAGCCCTATGCGGCGGCACGTAGGCCTCAAAGCCATCATTGCAAGCACGGCGCGTTTTGTATATTGAACTGGAAGTTACATTATTAAGTGAAAGAAATAGATAAGATATGTCGAGTCATTCAATCCAAAGTACCCACATATGCCCTAAGAGCATATTTGCATGGTATTAGACAAGATTCGACGGTACAATATAAAAGATACAATAGATAGATTTTAATTTCACTCAATACTATCCTATATTGTCTAATCCAACTTGTCAAACATTGTTTCTGTATATTAAGTGTCGTTTGGTATGCAGCCATATATCGTACAAGACAATATTTTAAGTTTTTTCGAGGCTAAAGAGAATAAAGTCTAGAGACTAAACTCCAGTAATATAATGCATTGTGAATGTCACAAGATGAATAATACCTTATTTTTCGAGGCTAAACTTTGGTTCATTGACTAACCATAGTTACGCCCGTTTGGACGGTGGCTTTTGAAAAGACAAAAATTGTTTTTGAGATTAAGAAGTTTTTTTATCCGTTCAAATAATTTGTTGAAAAGGTCTTCATACCAATAGAGCTTTTAGTAGGAAGTTGATTCAAGGTGACTTTCTCATGACCTTTTCTACGAAAAATAAAAGTACAAATTTTCCTAAACATGACCTTAGTGTTAAGAGTTCCTCTTTGTGCACTCCAATTTGCCCCTAGAAAAGGTAGAAATTTAAACGGGAAAGAGGTAGGATAACGCCAACTAGTTTGACATCGAACAGGAACTAGTAAGGGAAGGGAAAGGAAAGGACTTCCCGATAGATACTATTTTGAACCTCAAGAGATACTTTTTCTAAACCTCGACTTTTATTTGACATATATTTGTATCCCATTATCTAGCAGTAAAAGTAAGACATACAAGTAAATCGACTCATAATTTGCCATCAAATTATAACAGAAAAAGCATTTGTCATTCAATTTTTCATTGTGCGATCACTTTACAGTTCAGAAAAGATAACATACAGAAATATAAACATGCACACTTTCGTACTTCTGCACCAAGGTAAGCTCCCCCATAAAGGGAAACATATTTCATAAACTAGAATTGCTTCAAATCAAACAATTTTCAAATAGGAGTAAAACTTAATCCTGTACACGAGCTTTTTTTGAATTTTCAAAACAATGCGAGATACTATAGAGCACTCTATAAACCATAAGGAACTGGACTTTTCCATTGTTGAAAAAAAGAAATAGAAGAAATGAGATTAGAAATCAATTCGATTGTTAGTATCACTTTGCATTGACAGTTTCACCACCAAGCCCAAGTCGACATTTAAAAATTAGACCATCAAAATTTTCTAATACGCACTCTCTAGCTTGAGTATTATCAAATGAATAAATAAAATGATAATTACAAGAAGTATGTTTTAAGGCACGAGTAGTAAAGAACTCAATACAGTATGAATACCAGTGCAAGAGCATTAGATTTCCAATCCGGTCATGCCTGAACCATGTTAGATGATCACTACATCCTAAACATTCTTCTGAAAACACCACGCTTATGCGTGTTCTTGAGATCTTTATCTGAAAAAACAGGAAAAATAAGGCAATATATAAGTAAAATAGTGGAATGATCTGCACGTCCACTTTAAATGAACAAATTTCATTTAAAAAATCACATCCATATCTTAATCTGCTCATCACACGACAAAAGAAATAATTTTCATATTTGACCAAGCTTAAAAATAAGTAAAAAGTAGCAACTTTTTCTTTCCAAACATTTTTGAGTACCTTACCTTCTGTCTTGCTTTAAAGTAAGAAAAGTTACTTATTCTGGATCATTAGTGCCAAATAAATAAATTGCCTGTTTTCAATTTTAATGATTTTATTTGTTTCAAATTTATTTGTCTGTAAGTAAACGAAGCTTAGACAAATATGCTCTTACATTTAGTACAGCAACACCGATGACAATACTCAAATGGAGAATGAGAGTTTTGCTGCTTGTTTGGTAATAATTTTAAGTGCTTATATGTTGTGGGTCCTACAGAATGTGTAGATAAAAAGTATGTTCGCCCAGCTTAATTTTTTTCCAAACATGCTCTTAATTCATGCTTATCATAATTAACTCCTGGGAACCATTTATATACTTTTGGAGTTGAAATTTTACCTGTGAGTCTCCCAGCAAGGTACAGAGCTTCTTCAGCAATTGGTCTCCACTGCTCTGCGCATGAATAGTTTATCCCTAGTCCAACACTAAGTCCTCTCAGTAGATGTACCGTACGAAGAACACAGAAGAGTTCCTCTGGGAAAGCCTAATTTCACCATAACAGAATAAGGAAATCGAATTGGTGAAAATATTAATATACATAAATAAATGTCTCCGTGATACCAAAACATCAAAAGGTCAGGTCTCATAGCCCCTCAATTATGAAGATTTCACGTTAGGACTTTGATAAAAGAAAATGAATCAAGCTTGTGAGTGAGGGACATGCTGAAGATATGGATGTAAACATATAAATTCTTGTTCTAACAATTTAAACTTTTAGATGAGGTGGTTCAACATACACAATAATTCCGGATCCATAACTGATATCCATTTTCTATGCAGACCATGCCATTAAGCTAAGAAATGCTTATAAAATTGAGAAGATACTAAACAATAATATATTACACGTAAAATGTTTTATCTGTTTTAACACTAGATTACAAAAAAAAAAAAATATCACGCAAGGGGCAGAGAAAAATATAGAAGAAAAGGACTCCACCTCAAAAGTTGATAAATTTGAATGCATTCAAAATCAGAAAACCAATGACAATATGACATTGGTTCAAGCTATGCAAGAAACTTAAAGAAATGAGCTCTTTACATTTTTTTATCTGACAACCAGTGTAGGAGGGTACCAATTTAGTCATCAGACATTAAAATATTTTGATACCTGAACAGCAATTTTTTTAATTGAAGATTCTTCTGAGAAAGGTTGCAGCATCGTTACACCAGGTGGTAGCTTTGTATCAAACATAGTTTGCGCCAATTTAAACATTTCCTGTTGCTCATCCTCACAATTGCTAAATGTATCTATGCCGAGCTCCCTAATGTTAGAAAGAAAAAGAGAATGTATATATCAGAAAAATGTATAAGCTTACTACTACTATTTTGCAATTCAAAATTTTGGAACTTAAAAGATCAATTTATCACTCCTAAATGATCACTTATGGTGACCTATTGTAAGAGCTGCTTAAAGTGGATCTGTGGAGGGTTGCATTTCACTTTTCCAACTAATGATTATTTTAATGTCAATTAACCCCTGAAAATGAGAGCAAAAATGTGCAGACTTCTCATAGCACTGGTGTCTCATTGTTTTTCTGTCAAAACCTTTTTTTTTTCTTTTCCTGGATATGCAACTTTCATGGTATCACGTAATGTATAAAGTGAGGTGTCTTTTTTCCCCTCGAAAGTTAGTAGCTCATCAGTACTTCATTTCAAAAATTAGATTCTCTTAACTGGTTGAAAAGACTGGTGTAAATATATATAGTGGCCATATCAATTGACAACATCCCCATGCAAACTTTTGCACCTGTAGCTGTCTGATGCTCTTGTAGGATCATTATCTGCGATGGCAAGGACGAGATTAGCATATCCGAGCCTCAGTTTCTCAGGGAGATCCTTCACTTGCCCATAATCAAGCAACGCAACCTAATAACCAGTAACATAGTACTATGTCATCAAGGGCATTGATATGGTCATGCATGAAAACTAAAAATATTAACAGATAAACTAAGAAGATAATGGCAAAACACAAGGCAGAAAGTGTTGGATAGGCACTTGCCTGAGAACCTCGACAGATCAGAATATTTCCAGGATGAGGATCTGCATGGAAGAAACCACTCTTTAGAATCATTTGCCCATAAGCAAGTGTCAAACTTTTGAGGATGTTCCTGCAATTTGAAATAACTGGATCAGAGTATGACGTTTCTGGTACCTCATGTCCTATTTAGTATATAACTGCAAAATATGGAGGGAAAAAAAAAAGAACTTAGGAACACGAGGACTTCAACAGAGTTCTGAATAGTGCCAGATCAGGATAACACTAAGATTTTCAATGAAAAGGTTTAGAATTTCTTGGGAGGATCATGCTCCAGCATAATTTCAGAAGTTTTGTCAAGATATTGCCAAAAATGTAATGAAAACTGTATCTTAAGGATTATTTTGCAATCTTAATTAAGAATTTGTCATTACATACAGAATTACCAGTATCCATTTTCCAAAAAAGTTTGATCTTATGGAGACTACGAAAAGCTAAAAATAAATAGGCCAAGAATGGGGAAAAGGAAAAACATTACAAAGGGAAAGAAAAACAAAGAGTATTCTTCATGAGTATGAACAGGAATGGGGAAGTGGTGTGAGAGAATATTTTAATTTGTAAATACTTAGCTGACTCTAGAGTCTAGATAAGTATGGGTAAGGGCTTTGTTAAGTTGAGTATGTGAATTACAAATACAAAAATTGTGAAAGGACCAAAAAAAAAAAAAAAACCACAAGAAGATCTCATACTCTCTGGGATGATCTAGAGGCTTACTGCTTTGCTGCTGCAGCTATCTTACCATCGGGATTTATCCCTCTTTTTTCTATTTCATCACCAAGCTTCAGGATGGGGATTCCATCCATATATTCCATCACTAGAACCCTCCTATCAATAGGTAAACAAGTCACCACAGATACGGATAAAATGAACAGCATCAACGATTAAGTAGTGCAGAATTTGACAAGTAAAAAGAAATATCACTATTTCTTCCACTACAAAAAACTGAATTGATTAATGACACTCTTGAATGGGAAGAGGACTTAAAAAAACGAGACAATAAATATATAGGAGGTGAAATAAAAGAAAGAAATACTAACAAAGTGTTAATTAAATTTTTGAATGCAGAGAATTTTTAACATAGATACACTTTATAAGGATGTCTAGAAACATGCACAATCCCTAGTATATTTTATAAGGACTTCTAGAAACATACACAATCCCTAGTATCTAAATTCAATGAGTCTTGAACAAATAAGAGAGCTCAAACAAATTTACGAGCAACAATCTGATGTTAAATAGTTGAGCTATTGCTTGCATTACGGAAGACATTGTCTTCATATAATTTGATACATGTTAAAGCATACCTAGTGACCAAATCTTGTATCACGCGTGGCACCAATACCGACGCCTTTTTGTTATTTTTGTACAGAAAACGCCGAATTCTTTCCATAGCATCAGCCTCCCTCAAAAAGTTGAATTCATGTCCAATCTTAGATGGCACATGTGCAAAAACATCATTGAGCAATACCATATAAGAAAAGGCTAATGCAACGTTATTTACTTGCACCCACAAGCAAAATGAAAAATACTGATTAGTTGAAATAAAGCATCAGTTATTGATCTGATCATAACCTGGTTATGACTGGATTCAAAGGCCAAATTATGTACATTTTTCAACATATATATCATAAAACCAGTGTGCAACTAAACAAAATTTCTAGCTGAAGAAAGAAGTCAAATCTAGTAGCCAGGATTATCAGCAAAAAGCCCATGAAGAGCAAATTTAAATGGTTTATCATCAAACAGTTGGAGTAGATTGAGTACCTGTTTCTCCATTTCCTTTGTTACAGAGAATAGATCGAATTTTATATCTGTCTTTTGCATGTATAAAGCAAAAGCTTGCAAGTTACGAATATCAGTCATCATCAAGGCCTGAACACCAGGATGTTGTACCTAAAATGATATGATAATTAATACCTAATACAGATGACATGACTGCAAGATAATTTTCAATTTGCCGTACCTTGACAACAACATCATTCTTATAACCTTTAAATCGAGCTCTGTGAACCTGAATCACGCATTAAGGTAGATATGATATAACATCAATTAGCACAAATAGAACGTCCATCAACCCTTTTCCTAACATTTCAGGAAAAAGAAAAAAAATATGGTGGCGCCTAAATGGTTAAAGAATCTGAGATTCTGTAGAGATGATAGATCAACAAGAGGCAAGAGCTTTTAAACCATTTTCAAGATGAATTTTAGCTTTAATTTCTAACTCTCATTTTTAACTGCAACATCTTCAGGGATAGGTTAAGCATCAAATATAATTGCAAAACTACAGACACCTGTACCTCATGGGCTCATCCGGAAAAGCAAAAAAACTGAAGCAGAAGATACTTAGAATTTAGAAGTGCTCTTTTTGCAATTTCTTTAAAAGGGTGTACTTTAAAATTTTACCACAAATTAAAACCATTCCTCCGATGCAGAGATAACAAGTTCAGTTTTTATTTGCAAATTAAAAGGAAATAAATAGAAAAATGTGAATATTTTTCACTTAAACCAATTTCTAGTAAAGAATTACAGAACTAGCATAATCTGTGCATACAAGAGAAATACCTGGGCAATTGATGCAGAACCAAGGGGTTCAACATCTATTCTTTCAAACAATTCATCAGTACTTCGACCCAGCTCCTTCTCCAAAATAATCTTGACAACATCATATGGGGTAGCAGGGGCATGATCACACAGTGTGACTAGCCTTTTCACCCAGGGGGCCGGGGCCAAATCAGGTTTCCCAATAACTTGGGCGACCTACACCATTCCCATTAACGAGCTTCATATAACATTGCAAACATCGAAAAGCCAAATTAAATGTCAAATACTCTTACGAATCCAAATTTGGTAATTCTATTAATCTGTAAATTAACAGAACATCATTTTCAATCAAATGAAAAAATCCATCGAATTTTTCCAACTGGAAGAACCATAAACGGCTAAAAGGAAACAGAGACAAAAAAAAACCCTTTATGTTTCTGCGAAAATAACTGGAATTGAAGTAAATAAAAAGGAATTAATTGAATTAATACCTTGAGGAAGAACCCACCAAGATCAGTACACATGTTATAAATTTTATCAGCCGCAAATTCGTGCTGCTTCTCCCACATTGCTTCCCTCTTCTCCGCATCCTTCTCAAAATTTACTTTAAGTTGAAACACCTAGAAATCACAAAACCACAGCCAAATTTCTTAAAAACATATACAGATACACATTTAAAAATATCCCTGTACACACCTTGTAACCAGTGTAGATATCAACTGCTCGAACCCAGAACTGAAATGAACGCTGAAAGGGTCTAAACCCTGTAGAGAAATTTTCTTGAAATTCTTTGAGATCAATAGAAGGAAGCATGGCGTTTCAATGTCCCCCTTTTTCGTGGGTTTAATTTTGAGCAAGTTTTATATTAGAATTATACAGAACAACTGGGAATCGCACAAACAGGTGAAATATCATGCATGGCTTAGAATTTATGAACTATCTGAATATCTGTTCCTAAGGATTTGTGGCTGAGAAAGTGTAGAGTTGGCCCAGTTACAGGATGTGCGAGGTGTAGGGTATATAGATGGGAAACACGCTCCCAAGTACGAATTTAAAGGGCAAGAATTTTATTGAATTGAAGGATTGCAACAACAAAAAATAAGAGTTTTGCTGAATTGAAGGACTGCATCAAGAAAAAATGGATACAATGATTTATAGATGATGGCAAGAAATAATAAGGCCTTGTTTGATTTTTGGTTTATTAGCACTAAACGTATTTCGCTTAAGTGTGCAAAAAGTTCTCACATTTTAAATTTTTGTATTTTCATCCTATTTCAATATTTCATTGTTGAAAATGTTATTTTCATCAATTTTTATCAAATTTCTCACTTAAAAATTGTAAAACGACAAATATATCCTCATATATAAATAAAGCAAAAGGAAAAAAACAAATTACAATCATAATCTCATTTTTTAAAAGAAGTATAAATAAATTTCAAATAATTTAAATTAAAAATCAAAAAAGAAAAGTCGTTGTCGTCGTCTTCTTCCTCCTCTCCCTCTCCTTCGGTCACAACCCCCCCCCCCCACCCACCCTCAGCCTCACCACGAAACGAAACCAGAAAATACATTGAAAAATACTAGAAGATGTAAAAATACTAAAAACCAATCTCTCATATTTTTTTACTAAATGATGTAGGATTAAACAAAAGTCGGTTTTTCTTCTCATTATTGTCAATGGCATTGTTCTTGACTTCCACAAGCTTTCTTGAATGTGGACGACTTTTATATAGGTGGCACTCATAGTACTTGTGTTAGGGCACTACATCTCTTGAGAACCTCCATTTCTTGCTATCCGTCCACTTGCACCTTTCTAGATAATCAGTTACTACACTTAAACACCAATATCAAGAAACATCTTTTTAAAATCCACATCTAATCGAGTACCAAAAGTGTAAAAAAATAAAACCATTGAAGAAAAAGAAGATCAGCGGGCACAGGGGTGAAAAATGCAAAAATTTGAAACGTAGTGATGTTTTGCACACTAAAGGTCAAACGTATAGAAATTTTGCACATTAATGACCAAAAGTAAGGACGTTTTGTGCTAAGAAGCCCTATAAATCATGGCTTGTCTTTCAAGCTTCTTCCAGATGTAAAAGAATTCTCCTTATTTACAGTCAATTCATTTCCACTTGGACTTACACAACAAAGCAAAATCGACTTTTGATTTACATAGCAAGAACAAAGAAAGAGTGATTTAATTACTCGAGAATTTGAAGGCGATGACTATGGCGATACTAGCAAGTAAGGGTGAGGGGTAGCGATGAGAGTGGGTGAGAGAGGGAGAGGGAGAGGGGGAAGACGACTTTTATTTTCTAATTTGAAGGACATAAAAGTACTATTTTCGGTTCTTGGTATGGGCATGGGGTGGGAGAGGGGGGAAGAAGAAGAAGATGACTTTTCTTTTCTTTGTTGATTTTTTAATTTAATTTATTTGGGATTTATTTGTACTTCTTTAAAAAAATGGGAGTAGGATTGCAATTTATTTTTTATTTTTATTTTGTTTTATTTAAATATGAGGGTATATTTGTCATTTACAATATTTAATTGAGAAATTGGATAAAAATTGATGAAAATGACGTTTTTCATAATTAAACGTTGAAATGTGGATGAAAATGCAAAAATTTAAAACGTAAGGTCGTTTTACACATTAAGAGCAAAATGTAGGGAAGTTTTGAGCTAATAAGTCATTGATTTTTTTTTTTTTTTAATTTCTTTGCAAGTAATTTTGTGAAAAATGATTTTTTTTTTTTTGAAGAATGTAAATTAAAAATAGGAAAATTTATGATTTTACATATAAATTTATTTTATTGGAAATATGTATAATTAAAAATTAGTACGAAGAGAATTTATTTTGAAAAATTCAAAATCAAACCAGGCTAAAAACCTAGGGAAGGTTTGGTCAAACTTAAAAAATAATTAATGAAGATTAAACATACTTTTAATCACATTTTATAATTTTTTAATCTTCTCATTTTATAGGTTCCTCGAGTGTTTAAATTAAAATTTAATAAATAGTGAATTTTACGAAATGCGCCGATAATATCTGTGTAGTAATTATGGATATTATGAAATGTGTAGATAAAATATGT